TTAAAAATGTTCTTATGCACAGTAGAATTGTAATGGTAAATTTGCTGATTCGTCAATGTCATGCTCATAACTTTGCCTGAACTTTTTCTTCCCTAGTCCTTACTATCATCATTTTTCCTCTACTTCGTTTGTATGTTTGTCACACTCTTGTGACCCGCTCTTTCCGGGGTGCCTTGGGGACTTTGTGCTGTTTAAGCTAGAGAGCTGAGCAGAAAAAACCTGATTCCCTGTTAGGACTTCTCTGGTGACATCCACCCCTTGGCGCCCATATGACAGCGCAAAAGGTGGATCGAGGGTGTCAAGGAAACCCTAAGAAAACATAACATCACAACTGAAAGAGCTGCGGAGCTGGCCTACCATTGAAAACTGCATCTCCCATCGACGCTTAACTGCAACAGAGGATGAAAAGTAAAAAGTAAAAAGTAAAAGTATTGTGTTATAAGTTCCGTAAAACTCTTACTAAAACTAAAACATTATACTTTGCCTTGTAATTTGTTATTTCATATTATCCTGAAGTCACCTTTGTTTTGATATCAATACATCAAGCTTTGCTTTTCTGTGTGTGATGTAGATTCTGTGTCAGAGTCCTGGCATGCGTACTGTTGGGTTTTTAACTGAAAGGTCACGGCTTCAAACCCTGTTATCGCTCCAATGTTATGTCTTTGGGAAAGGCACTTTACACTGATTTTCCTCACTTCCCCCAAGTGAGAATCAGTTCCCGACTGTCGGCAGCGAAAGATTTTGCTACGAAGCTGAGAATGTTTCTGAAAGTAGGCTACACTCGGGTCTGCTTGGGTAAGAATGGGTGTAAAGCACAAAGAGCATGCTGTAGAGCATATCATTATTTCTGTGATCATTATAGTTGTTATCATTTTTATTATTCTTGTTGCTGTAGCGTGAACACGTTTCATTTTGGATTTATATGTCTTCTTTGTCTGTCTCCCTCTACAGCTATCAAGACAGGCCGGTACACGTCGTCCAAACGAACAAATGATATCCTGGAGGTGAAGAGTCTGGAGAACAAACGGAAGCTGGGCCTGGTGGACGATGGTCTAGTGAACGGCAATGGTTCTAGCCCTGCGCCATCTGGTCTACCCGGACACGCTTTGACGAGCGGTGATGGGCTGTCGCCAGAGCTCACGACGTCTTTGTCGAGTGTCACGGGCTTCACTTCTTCCAATGGGCTCAGTCACATGGCGAGAGTGATCAGTCAAGCTTTGTTGAACGAACTAAGCGACACCTCGTCGAACGGTGTGGTCTCTCGTAGATACACTCCGCTTAACGGACTGAATCAGACTCAGTCGAGTAGTAGTGCGTTAGGTAGTGCGCCCGTGAGAAAAGTAGGTCAACAGTTGTCAACAGACCTGGACAGCCAGAGCTCTTGGGCCAGTGCAGCGGGTCACAGCACCTCGTCCGACTCGGACAAGTTCTGCAGAGACGTCATTACCTCCTCTTCAAATGCACTGTTCGGCCAAAACTCTGGAATCACAGTTTCTTCCAGGCTAATTCAGAACCCATTTACTGTATTCGCCAGCACAAACAACACGAATTCTGTAAACAAAACACTCTTGAAAGGGGACTTCAGTGCAGGGAGTGTTGTTCCTTGTGCAACATCGTCGAATGGGAAAGAAAATAGAGCTCAGAATAACAACTTTCTACCTAGTAATGGCTTACCATTGGCTGGTTCCAACTTACCAGCTGACGTAACCCAGGTCGATTCACAGCCAGACTTCTTACCTGTTGATTTTGACCAGCTTGTGCTCGACGGGTAAGCTTTACTTAACTCTTTCGGTACTAAAGAGATTCCACAATTTTACGCACCCAGGCATGAAGGGTGTTACCTTAAAATGTCTATAGTTCTGTCAAAAAATGATGGATTTGTTTGTGTCAGCACTCAAACTATTTGTAAATGGACAGAGAATAACAATTTTGGTGAAAATAGGTAGTAAATGTAGCATAGAACCTGGTGTAGATCTTATTGTTGAGCAAAATGCCACTTAAGTGGTGAGCTTCTAAAACATATAGCCAAAAGCGCCACTTAAGTGGCGAGCCAGGATCAAATAGCTAACAAAGGCTCCTCACACTGCTATCTGGTAAATTTCAATTCCTTGAAAACTCTTTGTAGAATTTCAAGTAAAGTTTTAGCTACTACAAAATCTTTATTAGGTGGAGTGACCACACGACCTAGTTTTTGGTTCTTTTTTTTTTAGAGAAGATCAAAAACTGAATCCCACCACCGTGGATTTTTTTTGAGTTTGCGAAGTACCTAAACCAGCTGTCCCAAAGGTGCCATATGTCATTACTCAAACCAGAAATTGGCTGGTCATCATGAATGGCAAATTCATGGCCTGCAGATTAAAGAATCTCCCCTCACCCATTTTTGCATCCTTTTCCTTTGGGGCTGAGAACTCAGTCATACGAATCTCCTACTTGGGGTTTAAGGGTGCCACTGGTGAGTTCTACTTTACTCCCCCCCTTCTTTATTGTTCTGTTTATCAGCCTTGCTTGCTTTATAGCACTAAAATGACTGTAAACATGTCCTCATGCTTCTCATTGCAAATCTGTGTTTAACCCTCCAAGTATCGGCCAAAAGGTGGCTGTGGCTTTCTAGGGAATTTTAGGATTTTTCCTATTGTGTTGGAAAATGCTTGAGAGCAGGCAAACGGAGCGAGTAAAAGCCACAAACTTATATATTTTCAGAAAGCAGGATGTAAAAATAAGAAATACAACTCATTTGTGAAGCAGTTGAACGTTTGACAATATAATGAAGAGGTAAACGAACCAAAACACCGACTCAAATTACAACTGATTAAATTGACCCTGGCACCACAGAATGAAACTTATTGCTAATGTGATCGGCGTCAACTCTAGGATGTCCTAAGTAAATTAGAACTATTTATGCTGTACAGCTCAAAGTTTATACCTTGTATTTATCTCCCCCAGGCCTCCTCTTGTCTCCAGCCTTCCCCATCAGACCACAGCGCCATCACCAATAACCACATTATTAGACATATCCACCTCATCGGAGTTCCATCGCATCGCACCGTCCCATTCCATCGCACCGTCCCATTCCTCATCAGTTACCTCCGCCAGACTGGCTGACAATTATTTTAATGGAGAAAAGAACCGCGTTGCGAAAGACAATCTGCTTTTCATAAATTCCACAAGTGCAGCCGAAGTCAGTCCATCCTTCCCGTTTCAAAAATCGCCTCTGGATCTTGGTGTGAATCAAAACCAGTTTGTGAACAGGACTCCTGGCCCTTTGCCTTCGGAAACAGCTGCTGCGTTAGTGCCCTCTACTTCTGATAAGTCGAGCAGGCAGCAGGTGAATGGAATGACCGATCAGCTCTCCTCTCAGATTTCATTGTTAAACAATTCATTTTCAAGGACGTCCTCTTCAGCATCGCTTGGCCAGAAGTTGATGGGACTGGAAGAAGTGCTCTCAACCTCATCGATTGTTTCCTCAGAATCTATGGGCGCTTCGTCACCAGACATGCTGATATCACACGGGGTGGCAGGGTTGATATCTTCAGGGACTGAGCAAACCTCACAGAGGAAGAAACAAGGGTTGCCAGGGACGAGGTCTGTGAAACCATCTAGCCCCACCCCTGCCTTGGAGGCGGAGCTTCTGCACGCTTTCTGTGACACTTGTGGGTGTGGCCTTAATCACAGTAACATTAGCCTACTGTACCAGCAGAAGGACGAGGTGATAGCGCGGCTGGCAGAGGCCCACGAGTCATTCATGGACCATTGCTTTGGCCGGATGGACCCAGAGGATGTGGCTGCTCAGCAAAAAGAACACTATGTGAGTCTCTTTGCTTCAGATGGTTGACTGTGCACTATTCGTGTACACAGTTCTGTCTTCTTGAGTTTTGCATATCATCACTCGTTCATGCCTTATTTTGGGTATTTTTGACCCATTCATCTACCCTTTTGTATTTATATGGGTGACTGTCGGGTGTTCTAATGGGTTTGCTCCTTCTTTCCAATCTAACGTCTCTCTTCCTTATCTCTCCTTCTTTTCTTTGTATGTTACTGTCTAGTAACAGCTCTTTGCACATGCCATAAAACTTCAACTAAATACTAAACGTGATGCAATCATAGATATATTTTAACAAATGTCTATATTGTATGAGGTTTCCGAAGTATTTTATCATAACTCAGTCCTGATCAGTCCTGAATTAAAACATGCTTATTCGCTAGAATGATGTTGGGTACACACTGTTGTTTCTGGATTGTCAGAACATTTTGTACTGGCTTCAAAATTTGTAGATGTTGTAGCGTATTATATGTCTGGTCTGAAATATCCTTGTTCCTTGCGTTGCGGGTGATTGGATGGTGCCTCTGGTAGGTCCTTTCTGTACTCTGCTCCTATTCGTGAGTGACAGCTTTTGAGTCCTTTTGCTCTCTTTCCTTGAATTTATGCTAAACTTGCACTTAATATATTGCCCGAACTTTTTGAATAAATAAGTTTCATGTACTGAGATGAAAAGTTTGAACTCTTTTGCAAAAAAACGGTCTTGTATAAGATCACTACAGTTGGGATAATTGTTTATTACTATAATACTCATACACACATGAATGGAAGTTATTTATGTTCATAAGTAGGCACTACTTCTTTACTCTCCCTGTTGTTTCTGTTGGTATTTCTTTTTCCAGACACTAAATGACCATTATTGTGTCGATGTGCTTCTCTTCACTCAAACAAATAAACAAACAAACAAACAAATGAAAAGTGATTTATGACTGACTCCTTCACTGAGAAGTTAATGTGTGGTTGCACCCTTTAGACTCTGAGTAACAGAATAAAGTGAACAACCATATACGAGGGGATATCAATAAGTTGTTTTTTTACCTGAGTATGAAGGAGTGGAGCTACGAACTTAAAATTTGGTATGTAGACACATATTTCTCTATGTAGTCACCAGCCACAAGAACACATTTTTGCCTGCGATGAATGACCTTGAAAAGTCCTTCAGAAAAAAATGATCGATTTTGTCTTCCAAATAAGTGTTCCACTTCGTTTATGATGTCATCATCTGTTTCAAATCTTCTGCCTTTTATGTGTTTCTTCAAATTTCAAAAATTAAAAAAGTCTGAAGGTGCTAAGTCGGGGAATATGGTGGGTGTGGCAATATTTCATACCCACATTCCTCAGAAGTGGATATCGCCTAACGAAATGCATGCGCCGGGGCATTGTCATGAAGCAAAAAGACACATTTCCTCTGTTTTCCTCGTCGTTTTTCCTTCAGAGCTACCTTCAACCTCTTTAGCAAGTCTGAATAGTAGTCCCCTGTGATAGTGCGACCCGTTTGTAGATAATCCGTAAGAATTATCCCATCCTGATCCCAAAACACCGATAACAACACTTTGCCAGATGAGTTCTGCACTTTTGCGTTTTGGGGGTGGGGGAAGATGGTGTTTTCCATTGCATTGAAGCAGATGTTGACTCTGGGTCGAATTGATAGACCCAGCTTTCATCCATTGTTACTAGACGGCCAAAAAAGTTGTCAGGATCTTCACCAAACATGTCAATCTTTTGCAGACTGCATTGTGCTCTGTTCTTTTTGATGACGGGTAAGGAGACTGGGCACCCATCTTGCAGACACTTTCGACTTTTGCAAATGGTCATTAAGAATTGTCTCAAGAGATCCATGGCTCAAGCCAGTTTCAGTACAAAGTTGTCCGGGAGTAACGCGCTTGTCTTTCAGCATAATCTTCTCGACTTTTGAAATATTTTCTTAAGTCACGGCTGAGACTGGGCGACTTTCTCGAGGGTTGTCTTCAATGGACATGTTACCACATTTGAATCGCTTGCACCAGTATTTGACCTCATCATAGCATGGGCAGATATCTCCCTACACTACTGACATTTCACTGTGTACAGACCGTTGGTTTGTTTTTTCCTTGGAGATAGAGGAACTTCATCACAGCTCTAATTTCAATTTTTTTCCCTTTTTGTGAACAAAAATGAAAACTGCAAATCAAGCTTTCGAGAGTGATGTTAAACTACCTGCTGTACAACCTGAACTAATCATCCGAAAATGCCAATTATTGGTGTGCATTCTTAGTTTAGATGTATCTTGAACTTGTTCAAATTTCAATTTCGTAGCTCCTCTTCTTCGTACTTAAGTAAAAAAAAATATATAAAATATTGAAACCCTCTGGTAAGAAAAGAATAATGACAAGCGGAGGATGATTGTTACTGATTTTTATCCTTAGAGATTTTTCTTTACTCAAACAAACAATTACT